ACCATGTGGTCTCTGGGGATGGAACTTGGGTAGTCAGGTTTGGTGGCAAGAGCCCTTAACTGCTAAGCTACCCAGTGGCCCAACTGGGAAACGTTTAACTGTAACCACTCTAATAACTTCAAGCTCCTCAACACATCCACCCCAACTTTATCTTCCTCAAGCAGAAAGATACTCAAGAGTTTTATCACAGCTGTCTAGCCTATGGTTTCCTAACCACTAAACTCACACTGAGGTAAGTTCTGTTTGGTCTGAGTTTTCTCATATGTGACAAAGACTTGTTTGCTGTCAACTATTAAGACAAAAGTTGCAATTAGAATACAATAAAATATAGTACAATATCTTAAAATTCAGACGAGAAAATTTAGTCCACGAGAAGGAAAAATTAAGCAATTCTAATGGCTAGTGGCAATGATCACACAGTGGTTTGCAATGACTGTGAATTCCCATGAGTGCTTAATTCCTTTTCAAGGACTTTTTAAGATCAAGATATTTTTGACAATAACCCTACCATATAATTTGACTTTCTCACTATGTGACATGTGCTCTTATGTAATCAAAGCGACTGGGCCTGAGCACAATTCAGGGCAATGGAAGCACACTGAATTAGTGGTATCCTAGTTATCCTAGTGGTATCACTACCCGCCTTTGCATCAAAAGGAAAGAAAAACAAAACACATTTGTTTCATTTAAGAAAGCACTTGGGGATATAGTAAAAATTGATCATATTATTTACTGAATCTCTCCAAAAACATCTTTTAATATTATATACAATTAAGACATAATGATTATCTTTAGCATGAATATTTGTATGAATGCTTGACTTCTGAGATAAAATAGCTGTTTTCCCTAGGAAACAGAGGTTACTTGAATGTATGCTAGACACATATCTGTGCCAGAGTTACATAGTCAGACCCTGTAGCAAACACACAAAACAATGAAAAGAAAAAAAAAGACAATGTGATTTACAGATTTGTCCTCAGTTTTCAGGTCTAAAACACTAAATACTTCTAGGTATAATCTAGACAAAGGCCTTTGGTGTCGGTGTCCTATCAATTTTGTAAAACTTTATTGTTATGAGAGTGTGTGCACTTGTGTTTGAGTGCAGGCACATGCATGTGTCTGAAGGCAAGCACATATATGTGTAGAGGACAGAGGACAACCCTGTGGAAGTGCTTCTCTCCTGCGACATTTTCATGGGTTTTGGGGAGAGAACTCTGGTCACCAGGTTTCTGTGTAAGAGCTTTCACCTCTGAACCATTTCACTGGCCCACTAATGTTAAGAGTGTGAGTTGGAGAAGAGGGGCCTTGACAAGTGTGAGCTTTCACTGTGTTCTAAACTTGCTTTGACTCTCCATCTCGAAGTATGTCTTTGCGCCCATTATGATACAGAAACAATTACATAAAGATTGGAAGCTGGTATGATGCTGTACTATTGGGAAAGAAATAGCTTAAGAAAATAAGCATTGCCAAATGCGTGTTTCTCACAGGTCTTTCTCTAAGCCATTTCTATCAGCTGTGCCATGCTACAGATGTTTCTAACAAGAACATTAAAAGACTGGCTAGAAAGGAGAAAACAATCCGTCTGCAGGGAACCCAGAACCTACTAAAATACTGTCAGTTATTTATCTACTGTCAGCACAGACTGTACACTATAATCCTTGACAATCTCGAGTCAGAAAGGCCAAAGAAGGGCAAACCTTGTTTAAGGGTCTGCTCTCCTGCAGACATTTTAACAGAGAGAAAACCAGAATGAATCTTGTAAAAATGTCACTTTTGATTTTGATACATATTCTACCAAGGAGGCTCTACATTTGGTTGACTTAGTACAAAATATGTTAGAGGCTAACACTGTGTTTGGGACCATTCATGATCCCATCATGGAAGAAACACAGTGAGGTCTCCATCACTTCTTTTCCAGTTAGCTACTACAACTGCCCAATTTCATGACATATTTTGTATGACACGTCTTATGACAGTGCTTCTCTCCTGTCCACTTCTCATTTAAGTATATTCCGTCCTGAAATACCTCTCTGGAAAATGTGCATGGCCAATCAAAAATGCAACAGACAGCCGAGCTTCCCACAGCTACTCAGAAGAAAGACCCGAGTTAAGGTGGCTCAGGTGCAGACAAGGGCACAGTAAGCCTAAGCAGGGAGGTGTGAAGGAACAGGGCCACATAAGAGACCCAGACAACCCCGCTCATTTCCAGAGAAACCTCGCTTTCCTTTAGAACACAATTCATAGTGATAGGTCAATGATGGGATTTCCAGCCATACAACTGGAAGTCTAAATGAATGTGTGCTTGAAGCTGGGGATGAATGCTGAACTAGAGTCTTAATTTTCTAATTCATATTCACCAATTAAAAATAAACTGGATTTTTATGAGCAAATTTACATAAATCAGATGATAAAGCACCTACCACTAAAGGGTAGAAATTCAGCTCCCAACATTTGCATACATTCTCCTAAAGAAAACATAGGCATTTTAGCTTTTCATTGAAGAGTCTTGCTGTGCCGGAACTCTAATGGGCTTAGAACAGTAAATTTTGAAGAAACTGATTGCTACCCCTGTAGCTAGTAAATGTCTGCCTAGACCCAGTGGCATTTGAAAAAAGTGTTTTATCATAAAATTATCCCAGCAGAGTCCATTCTGCAAGATAACATCATCATCATCATCATCAGTACTCCATGCAGGACCCAACAGCTCTGGCACAATATTGCCAGTCATTTATCTGTTGTCAGCACAGGTTACACACTGTAATCCTTGACTGCCTCGGAATTAGAATGTCTTTGATGTCCCCACAAGAGTTTTTTGCCCGAAGGCTTTACCAATGCTCGGCGGCTCAGTGTTTATTCCTCCTAATCTTCCTCTCATCTCCAGGCTAGCAGTGACAGATGGTTATGGGCACACAATAGTATTAAGAGTTTGATATTTTTTTTATGCTGTGCTCTCTGTACAACAAATAGCTATCAGACGCGGGCCAGAGAGCTGCCATGGCTCGCGTAGGTAATGGCAAACAAACAGCTCGGGTTGATGCTTTCTGTCATTTCCCCTCCTAACCCTGCTTGTTTTCATTGTATACTCTCAAAGGTAAACTATATTAACCTTATAGACTGTTATTAAAAAGATATATCTATATGAGCATAAAGTGCTTTTCTTTTTTCTTTTTCTTACTCTTTTGATTATGAAAGTAATACTGCTGACATATTGAACAAATATCGAATGTCAACATAAATTTTTAGTGTGTGATAATATCCCCTTCATATAGCTGGGTGTCAGGCGGGACCCGTGGATGATGCATAGCAGTAAATAACCCAAACAAAATTAGTTCTCCTGTCAGCTTCTACCTTGTATGTCCCCAGGCATCAGTAAAATTGACTGCACGCTAGATTTTCAAAATTAGCCCTAATGTTAGCTATGTGTCTGGCAACCTCCAAGTTTCCAATGTTCTACTATATTACCCGTAAGGATGAATGTGTTACTTTTATATTTTGGCATTTACTCTTGCTGATGCGGCTTTTTTCCCCTGTTCTCCAAATTAAAAATAATTTAGCTTTAACAATAAGAATGTGCACAAACATCATGCTGCATCTCTTTAAGCAACTAACTTTAGGCAATTAAATTAAATTAAAGCAAAAATATACAAAGGAAGAGAGGGAATTATTCAATTTAATATTGTTAATTTTATTAACATAGCTCTGTCTAATTTTGTGCAAAGTATTGAATAACATGGTTCTCAATCTTGCCTCTATATTGTTGTTTTATACCCACAGTTTCCAAATTATTTAACATTTTTATGAAAATTCAGAACCAAACTTTTTAAAATTGACTTTCTTGCAATACCTATTCACTTAGAGAGAAGCCAAGGTTAATGGAACAAGAGAGGTTTTCAGAAGGCAGTAAATGAGGATGTGTATTTTACCTTCAAATAGGGTTCTTTTCATCCCGACCCACTGCATCTCAAATCACATGAAAGAATCCTGCGTCTTGTGACACTCTGAGGACAACATGATGCTGGAAGGGTGATGGGGAACAAACAAGCCCAAGACAGCATCTCATAACAACGCTTAGCCCCTAAATTTCAGGTTCATGCATTTAGAATCAAAGACAAAATCCCTTTAGGTACCAGATGCTGCAGATCAACTGGGAGAGCTGGAGGAGTTTTAATGTGCTTGGAGGCAAATCCTGGGCAAAGGCGCTTTCCTGCCGGTGTGTGTGCTTATTACTTCACCTGCAAACAGTTGCTCTCAATCGGACCTAATGATCAGCCCAGCACTGCTGCAATAAAGAGGCCATAATCTGTAGGGGAAGCAACTCTAATCAGGCCACATGCAGATTAAACTAACTGGGAGGAATAAAAACTAGATTAAAATATTCATGCCTAATACCAGAAGATTATCAGGACATTTTACCTCCTTAAATCCTAATTTATAGAAACCAGGGCTAGGTTTACGAGTTTATATTTGGTGGGATTATATGCTGCATTGACTTTCCTGTGATGAGAAGAAATTCTGTCTAGCACAATACAAAGGCATTTGGCAGGAGGCAGACGGCTTCCCATGCACTAATACGCTATGACAAGTAAAAGGAGGCTGTCCAGTTGACACTGGTCAAAGTAAGAGTAAAGAATGGAAACGATTGTTTTTAACAGTGATGTGATTTATTGATGTCCATATGTGAATTAATCCTGGACTAACACTGTGAATATATAATGGCATCTGATTTTTCTACTTTGAAACTTCTTGTGTCTGGCTGCTACTGCTAGTTGAACAAATCATTACAAACATTATCTATAATTCACATATAAAGTAAAAACACAACAATTAATGTACAGTTACGGGCAATGCTGCCTTGGTACTGTACTAGTATAGTACCATGTGAAACTGTAAATGCAAATTTAAGTGATCTTTTTCTAAAGCTACCAGCACAGCAAGTTAGAAAGTCTACTGTCAAAATCCATTTTGTAAAACTCTTAGTAAACCAGCACATCTTGACTTACCACCTGTGAGGCCAAGTGATATGCAGCGGTCTTGGCTCATCATCAACTCCACACAAAAGGTTGCTGGGATCAAGAGCTAGAGTTTTGCTCACAGGAAGAGAGCATGAGTTATCTTCTGACAGGCTGGACTTCTCTAAGTCTGATTTCTGGGTTGGGTTGTCCAGGGTTTCTTGTCCAGCATCAAGGCCAGGGTGTTCATCAGACTTGGATTTCATATTCCCCGGTAACTTCTTAGAATCCCTCTGCTCTGGTTGGGAAGGAAGCATCACCGGCAGAGCTGCAACACCATTTCCACTAAGGCCGAGCATCTTCCTTAAGTGGGCTATTTTGTGCTTGGGCATGAATCTGTTACAAAAAGGGAATGCAATATGCTTTTTGTGAAAAAAAAAAAAAGTAAAATTAGTTCCTTACCTTCCTATAAGGACAAAGTGACGACATACAAAACTGAGAAAAAATAAAAGATGTTATGACAAAAGTTCTCAGGAAAGTGCAACAAGTATTAGTCACCAAGAGAAAGCTCAAAGGTTTGAAGTTGGTCACAACTGTCTTTGAATAGTTTTCACAGAGTTTTTGTGGCTACAAACGTGTGTGGCCCATATTGTAGACCACAAGACTATAGATGTAGTTTACCATTTGTCACTCATTTGTCTTTCTAGATTTCCATTTTGTGTTTTCCAGTCATTCCATGGCCTAGAACCTTTCTCATCAATCACTAACAATGTTTGAAACTTCCTGGGTTAACTCTTGCTATTTCTGTTCATGTGGCTGCTTTGTATTCCTGGGAACCTACATATAATTTCCATTAAACTGACTTGGCTAATATTTCCTGAGGCATATTTTACATTCTGTAATTTTCATTTCTATGTTTTCCTATAATGCTTTTGTCAAACAGAATTAAATATACTGCTGATTTGCAAAGAACCTAAATAAAACAAAATCCTGAAAAAAATCCTAATATAACCTAAAATCAAAGAGCCACCAATACAGGAGTTACCCATCTATAGGGACCAAACCACAAGGACTTAGAGTGGAGAGAGGTGAGTTAACAGCCAACTAGCCTATGTGGGCAGCACTTTATACTCACCAGATACTTCAACATTTGAAACGGGGGAATAAAAGAAAACTCCTGACTTATAGATCAGTAAAGGCTTAAAGATGGCTTTATTGAAAGATTTTGCAAGGCAGGCAAGTTCTGTGTTGAGAGGACAGTAGAAGAGCTTGTGTGGGAAGAGGGCCTCATCTGGAAATAACACACAGCCCAGAGTCCTGAATGCAGGGCTAGAGGAGTTGGCTGGGCCAGGTGACTGAACTCTCAAAATTCTATAAGGCCATCCAGAGTCTAGGCCTCTTCCTGAATTGTGCAGTCAGTGAGTACATAGAGAATACATGTACTTCTGAGGTGGGGAAGAAAACGCTTGGAAGCAGAATAAGAAACAGAAGTGGAGAAAGTGATTTTGAGAGAGTAATGCCACATTACAGAGATGAACCAAAGGCCTCCCTCCACAGGATACGTCAACAGAAACATGAGACCCTTCAGAGGGCTTGGAGGACGGTGGCTCAGCACTTGGCCCTGTCCTATGTTGATGGCTGCTAATGCTCACATAGTCTCTGTAGGGTAGAATAGGCACAAACCCTGCAGAAGATCAGGGTATATGAGTGAAAGGCAGCAGGTAAGCACAGGGACGTAGGGCTATTTCCCTGAGGACATTTGCTAGTAAAGAAGTAGGATTCTGAAGACAGGAAAGCCTTGTGAAACAGGAAAAAATTGTAACATGCGATGAATGGCAGGATTTATTGGAAAGTGGTGGTTTGTTAAAGATAATAAGTGGTTTTCCTATAAAGCTAAAGAAAAAAGAAAAGGAAACAGAAAAATAAAACAACAAAACAAAACTGTTTCACATACCACTTGTGGAATCTAAAGACTTATTTCATGAAGCCATTAGTTCAGATCCCCTTTTACAAGAAAGTTGAAGAGAAGTGGAGAGAAGAATTAAAAACTTACACATGCATACATATATACCTCCTTGGGAGGGACGGATAGCCAGAAAGTACATGCAGCAAAAGATATTCAAAAACAAACAAACACAAACCAGGTGCCTTGAGGAGTGAGAACACAGAGAGAGAGTTAACTGGGCCTAACGCCACGCCTGATGAGCAACACCAGAAAGCACAGGGGAGTGTAAGTGAACTGAATAGCCTTTTTATAGCACATCATGGAGATTCTACAATCAAAAGATGTCTTCAGGGACTTGTTTTATGAAACCTCCTATCTCTTCTGATTTCAAACAGGTAGAGAAAAAAAATCAGTGAGATCCATGGAACTCCTTCCCTCCCCAATGCTAAGCAGATGGCAGCACAGGAAGAGAGACTACCAAGAATGGTACCAAGTCTGTAAGCACCTTAATAACACAATAGGATAGCTTTTGATTTAAAATGGGAAGAAGCCTGGGCATGCACAGATTGCAATTCCATCTCATAGGTCAAGAAGTTTTAAAGAGACAAATGAACTTTCTTTCTAAAACAAATTCAACATATGAAGTGCATTGAAAGCTCTTACTAATCACCACATGGGTATTTGTGTATGGATGTGACAGATCTTTACCTTCCTGAACAGAAGGACAAATGGTAAGAGAAGAAGCCGCCAGTCTCAGACACATCTGGAAAGCAGAAACGTAAGCTAACTTGTTTATGTAGATAAAGAATGCCAGCAAAAGGAAAAAAAAAGATTCGGACAAAATTACAAACCATGCACAAAGGATTCACAATAACAAATCAATGGGCATCGAAACAACATCTTCATTTTTAGAAAACAGTATCATGACCAATCTTACTCTATTAAAATCCATTTATACTGTCCATCTTGTGAGGCAAACTGCAAATGAAAAGAGATAGGAGATTGGCTAAAGGGCTATAAACAATAGGAGTTGATAACTGACAAGGAATTTAGTGATGGGCAGGTTCTAGCCCTGACTGTATTTCACATGCTTCACAAACATTCTCAGGAATGATCAGACTCTCCTGTTAATGCAGGTTGTGGCAGCTACCTTGGGGATAGGTGGTAGTGAATAAGGACATGGAGGACACAGGATATAAACAGGACAGTAACTCAGAGCTTACAAATCCCACAAACCCATGAAATCTGAATCAATCTTGAAATAAGAATGGATGTAGCGTGAATCTTAAAAGTTCTTATTAATTAAAACAAACCTACAGCCAGGTATTGGGGTGAATGCTGGAAGATCAGAGAAGCAGAAACACAGCCACTTCACCTTGTCAATTCCTCAGCTGATCCTGTTTCCTCAGACTGGAAGTCTCTCGCTACTCATCCAGAATGAATCTCAGCTGAACTGCTGCTAAAAGCCTAAAAGCTTAACCAGCTCAAGTTCCTGGTTTTCACGCTTTATATACCTTTCTGCTTTCTGCCATCACTTCCTGGGATTAAAGGCATGAGTCACCATACCTGGCTTTTCCAGTGTGGCTTTGAACTCACAGAAATCCATCTGTGATAGGATTAAAGGCGAGTGTGCTACCATTTTCTGGCCTCTATGTTTAGTGGCTGTTCTGTTCTCTGACCCCAGATAAATTTATTAGGGTGCACAATATTTTGGGGAACACAATATCACCCACAGATGGACATAAGGAAAATGTCACTGAAAACATTTGAACTAGCGCAGATGAGCAAGTGCTGACTTGGCCTAGTAAACTGCACCCTGGGTTCTGGATCCTAGTGCACAGGTAGGAAGAAGCTGAGTCTCTGTGAATGCTGATTTTACCGGGGCGCCTGACAACTGTATATGTTTGAGAATTAGAGAGATCTTAGAAGAGCAATAATAATGATTAAGGCAATGGAAGTGTTGATTTATGAGGACAGATTAAAGGAGCTAAATATGAATGGCCTGGTGAAGTGACAAGTAGACAGATACATAATAGGCGTCTCCAAGGAGAAAGAATAATTATTTAGCCTGGTACAAGGGGGTATAACTAGGAATAATGAGATGAAATTAAGAATGGGAAATTTTAAGCTGAATTTCAAGAAAACCTCCCTGACGGTATAATTTATTAGCTCATAGAATAAATTCCCCATGGAATGCTAGAGCTAGGGAAACTTAATAATTGAACTGGACAAAATACCAATAAATAACATAGATAACAATCCAGTACGTAGAAGAAGGTGGTTACAAGCAATTCTTCACTTATTTATACATCTTTTCACATTTTTAAAACAGTCTATTCATTATATTGACTGTCGTCACCCAAAGAAGTATTTAGATATTACCTGGATTTAATAGGGCACCTCTTTAGGTGGGGTAAGTTAAAAACACCATTCTCATATACCTTGCAGCAAAAGTAATAGCATAAAATCAATACATTTTAACTACTTTATTTCAATAAAGCTGGCTTTTAGGCAGGCTGGACAAATACATTAATCTGAAAATGAAACAAAACAGTATCATTTCCCATCCACACAATCTGAATCTGGTGCCTTGGAGCTCATATTTTCATAGACATGTTTATGCAAACAAGTTATTGCCATAAGAGAAATTAAAAACAACACCTTTTCTGCCTTTCTGAATGCAGCTCTGTGGTCAATTACTTCTCATCAATAGTAAGTTCAAACAGGCAGAATACTAACAAGCAGTTTGCTTAATAATAGTCACTACTCTAATTAACCCATCCAGTACATTCTTAACCAGACACTATTTATAATCTATAGTTAAGAGACGCCTGGCAATAGACTGTTCTTATGCCTAAAAAAATACCTTAGAGATGGGCTGACATGGAAATGGACAGAATGTCCTGGCACTAACCTACAGAAACTAAAAACAGGCTTAAGTTTCAACATTTTCTTTTCTTCCTCAGCTCCGGCTCTGGAGCTGCTAATGAAAAGGGAGAGAGAAGAAAAGAAGAAAGGTCAAAAGAAAAAACATGACCTGCATTTCAGAGCAGATATCAGGAATCTCTCAGAAGCACTGTCAGAAACTTCCAGGATTATGGTTACTACACTCATTTCCACACTTCCAATCTGTTATTAGCCAGAGGACTCTTCCTTTGAGCTCTTCCCCAACCAATGGCCAACATATGAAAGAGAATCCCTTCTTGCAGCCTCTCCTTTCAAAACCTAATCTTTTCCATCTCTGTCCCACAGTCTCCAAAGATATTGTCACAAAATCCCAGGACCAGGCCAGGCAATGTGTAAAGACAAGATTAGGCAAATGTTTTCTAGGTCTAAATTGATATCCTTCCCTCCTACCCTTTGCAAGTCCATGCATATAAACATAGTGCTCAACACAGTCAGGAGAACCAACAGATCCTAAATAGTTTAAATGACGGTAAGAAGGGAAGTA